TCACCCCCGAGACGGTGAAGACTTGCTTCAAGATCTGCGGTCTCACGCTCGCGCTCGACGGCAGCGAAGACCACGCCTGATGCGATGACAACTTCGGGGAAGACTACCGCGACCTTCTCGAGGAGCAGCACGCCGTGTGGCTCGCTGAGCACCCCGACGTGACTCTCCCGCCGCTCAAGCTGCCGAAGGTACCAGGGGGGTTCGACTCCAACCCCATCAGGGCTGCTCAGAAGGAGGTCGAGGGGAAGCTGCTGCCCTACGTCGCTGATTAGAGCGACAGCGAGGTGGAGGTCTTGGAGGGCGACAGCGACGTGGAAGTCGTGGAGGGGCAGGGGGGCGGGGGCGCCGAAGGACAAGTATTTGGTCGAACTTTGAATCATAGTTCTTTGGGATTGCCAGTGAGATTGGATGTTTTTGCGATGGTAGGGGCGCGGGCACGAAGTAGAGTTCAACCCGCCTAGGAAGTACAGTAGTAGGACGTTGGTAGCTCGTCGTGGTAGTTTGGTGCGATATTTTACTTCGTTTTTGGTTTCAGCTGCGTTTAGAATTGTTGGGTGGATGCCGTTTGCCGATTTGCCANACAGCGACGTGGAAGTCGTGGAGGGGCAGGGGGGCGGGGGCGCCGAAGGACAAGTGGTCGAACTTTGAATCATAGTTCTTTGGTATTGCCAGTGAGATTGGATGTTTTTGCGATGGTAGGGGCGCGGGCACGAAGTAGAGTTCAACCCGCCTAGGAAGTACAGTAGTAGGACGTTGGTAGCTCGTCGTGGTAGTTTGGTGCGATATTTTACTTCGTTTTTGGTTTCAGCTGCGTTTAGAATTGTTGGGTGGATGCCGTTTGCCGATTTGCCAATCTTGATTCTTCAAAACGAAAAGAAGAGAACAAAGAGTACAAATATCACGTTTTTGAACATCGTCATGGTGCCAAGGCCAGCAGTAGCAGTGGAGCACGCGATTCAAGCCCCCAAAGTATCCGGAATTTCCAGCACAAGATGCTGGTGAAAGGGTTTCACATACCGCCAAACCTCACCGCACATATCGGCGTCTTCGCACAGAACACTGTGCGGAGACGACGATACCTGTGCGATAATCTAGCAAATCATTCGGAACCCGCTTTTTTTCCGCACACCCTGTGCCAAGACCCCGATATGTGCCGAGACCCCGATGATTACGGTAAGCCGATGAACCTCTTGTACCGATTTGTTCTCCGGGCAAGACAGCGCTTATCACAGGGATGGAAACCCTGTGGGGACGTGTTTCAAGGCTTGAAAGGAAGCTTGACGGACTCGGGCATTCACTTTTGTTGAGAAGCACGATGACCAGTAGACTACTAGTCAGCGCTGACTAGTACAGTAATGGGCCCGGATTAGTGCCGATTTAACAGTGCCAACTGCCTGCTTAGTGCCGGTAAAATCTCTGGACACGGACAGCGCCTGGTTTAGTGCCGGTTTGGCACTAGAACGGACGGGTCCGATATAGTGCCGGTTTGGTACCATGGTAGCCCACAATAGTGCCGGTTCACCTGCCCGCACACACACTGACGTCTTTTCATTGGTCAGCCGGGTAGCGTGGCCGATGCTAATAGTAACGCTGTCTGATTTTGGATTGAGATTTAGCTTCGACCTCAATATAGAAGAAGTATGAGTAGACGCCAAAGGTGAATCGGGTGCAAGATATGTGTGTCGACGAGCGCTGTTGAGGTTTTCCGAATGGTTTAATTCGGGTGAGGCCAGTGCCACTGCCTTCTTGTCCACAAATAAAAGCAAGCAGCTGATAGGTGCATATCTTTGGAAAATGGCAAGCCGGTATTCTGCATACATTTCAATGGCTCACGCGACATTTGGGGTGTGTAATAGTCTACACTTGTAAACAGGACGTGTGCCGAGGCGGGTGGAGAGAAAGGGTGCAACTGCAAGATGTTTGTAACAATGCTGTATGTCCGACAGGGTGAGAACGCCACGTGTCGTAAGAAAGACTGCCCACGCCGCCCAAGCAACAACTCCACCACACTAAATCCAATACATTTGGTACTCTGTTGGCCCCACAAAGGGTAAGTGCCACACCATGAAATGCAATATGCCCTCAATAGTGCCGGTTTGGCACTATTGAGGACCTATTCCCAATAGTGCCGGTGTCCGGGCCCAGAACTGTAGCTGACTATTATGTAGTAGTTTAGTGGTCATCGTGCTTCCAACACTTGATAGAATACCCTGCCAAGGCTACTGGCGCTGGGTCATGCCAGTTCCGACCAAGAAAAACAACTCATCCATTCAATCGCTTTAACCGAAAAGATCCAATCACGTTCGCAGCAAAAAACCCAATTGTTGGCAGTCTACTTATCAAAAGAAAAAATGGTTTGCAAACCTGAGCGGGAGACCAAGCTGCGCCCAGCCCCCAGCAGAAGAACCCTCCGAGCACATCGCGGCCAGCTCATGTACGGCAAGACCGAACGCGTCCGAAGACGCGCTGTTCTCGACCGCGCGATCGCTATCTGCGGCAGCAGCATAACTGTCACCAGAGCTGTTGGCGCTGCTGCTGCCGCCGCTGGTGCTGTGTGCTGCTTCCCTCGACGGTGTTGGTGTTGGTGGTTGCGGCGTGTCCACCGCTGAGACGAGGGCGATGGCACCGAGGGTGTCTATCAGAGCGCGGGCCGCGTCCTGCAGGATCGTATCGTGGGCCAACGGAGAGTTTTCGGGACGAGCGAGAGACAAAAAATAAGCGTCGCCTCTGTCCGTGTTGCTGGCCGGCCGAGGAGAAAACTGTGGTGATAACGTGATCACACGCCGTGAAAGGTGTGTCCATGTTTTTATTATCAGCATCGACCGCGCCAACCGGCTGACCAATGAAAAGACGTCAGTCTCAGTGCGGTTGAAAACACGAAACACTTCTGAAGGCCAGTAACTGGGATCCCGTGAGGGGGCGGCATGGGGGAGACTTGATCTCCTCTCCGGATCAAAGACAGCAACGGTAATAGCAACAGAAGAAAACTGCACACGTCTACGAAGGTGTCTGTGTGTGTGTGTGTGACTGCTGGGTTGGGAAGAAAACGTTTGCTGAAGCATGCCACGATAAGCGGCTTGCCGCCAGTCGACTCAAGGAGAAGTGCGCGCGAGGGTCAAGCATGCGAGTTGCCATCAACACGCCGTGCTATAATGCCGTACATGACACAAGATAACACACCCCCTGGACCGATTTTCAAATCTCGATTTCTCAACAACAGCAAGAGTCATGGCGCCGAAAACGGCGTCGTTGGAACCGTCTCGTCGAGAGCTTTCCAAAAATGTATCGTTTCGTTTATGCATCCTCTTCGTTGTGGAGTAATCGAGCTTTGAACATCGGTCCAGGGGGTGTGTTATCTTGTGTCATATATGGTAGTAGAGGCATCACCAGCTCAAGGGTAAGGGTAAGGGTAAGGGTATCATGCGCGGCAACGACAAGTCCTTCGGCTCAAGACGCCCGCAGCAGGAGTTCCGAAAAAGCAACATCGACCAACATCAGCCCACACGGTGCGACTTCTCAACAGCTCAGTGAGCTTGTACGACAACAGCGGCATCGTTGGCCAAGAAAAGGCTTTGATACAAACATGATACTGATACAGGGAGAGCACCAACAAGGAAAGATTGGATTGCACTCGATTCAGAGCCGAAACAAGCCAAGAGAAAGGACATATACGAGATAGCTCATGTTCCTACGTCCCCAAAAGCAAAACTTGCACAGGAGAGACGTAATTATATGCTGCTGAGGGAACCATAGAAATGAAAGAGGCTGACCACTATGCTCATCTGTCCCGCACTCGTATCTGTGAAAGAGATGAAATTGTTGTATTTTTTGAAGAAAAAAAGAAGAAAGAAGAATCTCACCCGAGCGTCTTCGGAGCCCTCGTGCACCAGCGGAACCAGCTCGGAGCGCACCGTGCGCGTCACAAGCATCAACGCTTCGCGCAACAGCAGCGGAAACCCCCGTCCGCCGCCGTTCGCGCCCTGACCTCGCCCCGACGTCGTCGTCTCCGATCCCGCCGCTTGCCGGGACCCCAGGGACAAGTCCTTCTTCAGGAAACCCATCTTTAGCCTCCGGCACTCGGCGACGGCACCGATCCCCTTGATGGCCACCTTGAGACAGCTCACGAGGCGCTTGTCTCTCTCTTGATCGCGTTCGGCCTGCTGGAAGGATGCCCGGTCGGCAACGCTGGGGAGACCATCGTTCAGCAGAGCCAGCACCAGCCGCATGACCTCCGAGAAGCAATCCAGGGACGGCCAACTCGACACCGGCAGGTCAGTCGCGCTTGCCACGGCGGCCCCCGGCATCGCTGCTGCCGACAGCTGTGTTGGCGGTGCTTCTGCTGCAGCTGCTGCACTATCCGGCCCCGACTTGTGCTTCCGCAGGCCTTCCAATCTCCGAATACAAGGGGCGGACACGTCGAACAGCAGCCCTTCCAAGGCTACAGCGCTGTCCCGCTTCGGCACCCTCCCGTTCGACATCACGGACGACAGGGCAGCGGCCGCTTCCCTCACGCACTCAACGCTCACACCGCCAGGCCCGGCAGCCGCAGCAGCCGCCGCCGCGGGCGATGCCTCCTCGCTACCGTCAACGACGACGCTGTACTTGGCGAGCAACCTCACGGCCAATCGCCATCCCGTGCGCAGGTCGTCCTGCAAGAACTCTAAGATAGCGCGTTGCCCCGGCGTGACCTGTCACAACACAAGCGTGTGTACAGGGCATGATGATGAAAACGTCCGACGATGTCAAATGCACCCACGAGTGTGTGACCGATCGGGCACGCCGAAATTCTTGTGGCCAACACCAAACGAAATAACCTCCACGTGCCAGCATCAGGTTTAGTGCGAAGCCTAACAACCAGGCCAAATATACACACCCGCGGCAAAACAACACTCTCTTACCTTTGGCACGTGCACCGGGCACCACGGGGCAGCCTAAGCCCAAACAGCGTCCCAAGTGCAAACTTAGTGGGAAGCCTAACGACCAGGCCAAGTAACACACCCGCGGCTAAACAACACCTTTCTACCTTTGGCATGTACACGGCGCGCCGCGGGTCGGTGGCTTGAGGGGCACAACCACCACTACCGGCGGCCGGGGCAACGCGCGGAGGAAACAGTCCGTCCAGCGTCTCGAACAGCTGTCGCATCCTCTCGTCCTCTCCCTCCTGCCCGGGACATAGCTCCGCCCCTTCCTCCACCCCTGCCTTGTAGACGGCCGCGAGCCCCTGCACAAACGCGGCGGCAACGTCCCCGTCGGAGTCCGTCTCAAACCTGGACGCCTCCAGCATCGCCGCCCATGCCATCGCGTACAGCGCCGGTCTCGCCGCCGAAAACTGAGGCGTCGTCTCCGTCTCAGCCCCCTCCCTCCCCCGCTCGGCGGCTGGGTTGTTGTTGGAATTGTTTCCCTCCCTCCTTCCTCCCGCCCTCGCGGGTTGCTGCGAAGACCTCTGGAGGGTCCCGTCGACGATCTTCATTCCCGCGCCGGCTCTAACCTGTACGGACTTGAGGCCCATCCTGCCGACGAGCAGCACCATGGTGGTGATTCCGTCGACCCCGCTCAGGGACACCTCCTGGCTGTCGCTGCCCACTAGGCACGCGTCCCGGTAGACCTCAAGGGACTTGGTCCACACGCCCCCTTCTCCGGAGAACCAGTCCCAGGAGGACAGCACCGTAACGTAGGCTCGAAGGACTCGTCCGAGACCCTGCGTGGTTAAAACAAAACAGCATACGGTCGGGGCAGTGTGTGTGTGTGTGCGTGTGTGTGTGCTTTTATTATTAGCATCGACCGCGCTAACCGGCTGACCAATGAAAAGACGTCAGTCTCAGTGCGGCGGGAAACACAAAATATTCTGTGTNGGGGGGGGGGGGGGGGGGGGGGGGGGCTGCTGAATGTCAGTGCCCCGTAAAAGTGCAAGTGTTTTCGGTGGGCACAGACAGAATAACCGAGTCATTCTGTACTTTGCCGGTGTCCGGAATAGTGCCGGTGAATTTCGTGCGCACACGTGTACGGTACCACACAGGGACCTCTGCTGTATGTAGATTAGGGAACGCCCTCGTTGAATTCCCGTTCCGAGGAACAGCNGGGGGGGGGGGGGGGGGGGGGGGGGGGGGGGGGGGGGGGGGGGGGGGGGGGGGGGGGGGGGGGGGGGGGGGTGCAGATACGTGTGCGGTCGGAGATGCTACTACTAACACGAAAAGGGTGAGACACTTGTAACGCAGTCAAATGATCTCCCGGTACAATGCCGGTGCGATTCAGCCGATTTCACAGGCGTTGTAGCGGGATCACCATTAACAGCAGTGGCAACACTAAGCCACCAACCTGCATCATCAACACCCTGGTCTCGTTCCACTGCTTCTGGTCCGTGTCCCTGGTGTGGTGCATGAGCATGCGCACGCCCTTCTTCAGCTCTGGCGCCACCGCAGTGTTGGCGCCCCTGCTAGCACTGTTGGTGCTCTCGAGCACCTGCCATCGCGAGCAAGGGAACAGAGGGTTCTCGTCAAAAAACTTGCTACACGCGCGTCGTGAGGCATTCTCATATTCCCATGAGCCTCGTTCTATTTTGGGCTTTGTACCCTCGAGGCTACGTGATGTTGTGTGTGCTTGTGGAGAGCAGCGAGAAGGAGGACGGCAGAGCCGTTTTCGATGGGCACAATTGCCACGACAACAAGCTTGATCGGCTCGTCTTGTCTCGCCAGACACCAGGGACTCGCGGCTACCGCGACTATAATACTACCAACAAGAAAAGCGCGAGCAAAACAAATGGCAGCAACCCCACCTGTTCGATGAGCGGGAAGGTGACCTCCTGCAAGAACTGTTTCCAGTCCGACTCGCTCAACCCGTCGCCGTTCCCGACGGCGGCGGAGAAGAGCGTGTTCACCGCGCAGTTCCTCAGCTCCGGCCTGAAGTCCACCGACAGGCTCCTGAGCTGGAACAGCATGGTGGGCCACAGCGAGCGCAATGACGGCCTCGCCTTGTGCGCAGAGGAAGAGGAGGCCTTGTGTCCAGAGGAAGAAGAGGATGGGCCGGACAACGCCGGCGGCGGCAGGACGTCCTTTCCTCCCCCGGTTGGGACGATGTTTCCGCTAGGCGGTAAGACGTCCTTGTTACCCCCCGGGGCCGCCAGGGCCGCGTTTCCGCTAGCCGTGGCGTCCGCGAAGGTGTCACAGACGGTCCATAGCATCCCTATGGCGGTGAGGCTAAGGTTGACGCTCTCCGTCTGCGCCCCGAAGGCTCCCGCGCACGTGACCAGCCTGGGCACCTGCTCCCTCGGCAACCTCTCCAAGAAGTCGTCCACCACAAGCTGGAGGCACTTGAACGAGAGGGACAGGCAGGCTCCGCCCCACACCACCGGCCTCATCTCGGCCGCGCCGCTGTCTTCCTCCTCATCGTACTCCCCTGCCGCCGCGTCGTTGTCGGTGTCGCCGCCCTTTGACTCGGCGGCAGCCGCCACCGCGGCAGGCGTTCTTGGGGAGGGGGGAGAGGGGGCGGCGCTGGTGGCCCCCTTCGCGACTGACAGCAAGAGGTTCAAGATGACGGGCCAGGCGGAATCTAGCACCTGCCCGCACGACTGTTCATTGNGGGGGGGGGGGGGGGGGGGGGGGGGGGGGGGGGGGGGGGGGGGGGGGGGGGGGGGGGGGGGGGGGGGGGGGGGGGGGGGGGGGGGGGGGGGGGGGGGGGGGGGGGGGGGGGGGGGGGGGGGGGGGGGGGGGGGGGGGGGGGGGGGGGCGCAAGTGTCACCGGGGGCCTGACGTGACACAGGACTTTGAAGATTTGATGCAGGCGACGGTGGGTTAATATAACTTGTGCACGTATCCCTTCTATGGAAGGACTTACGGTAGCTTGTGCAAGAATTCGCACAACCCGCGGATCGACTTTCAACACCCGTGATCTATTACTCAACGGAAAAGACAGCTAATACACCGTGCCGAAAGTCGCTTGTCCCGGCAATGACAAACAGATATTTTTCCACATATTTCACAGTACGGATGTAGACAGTATTGAATAGAGTGTTCTCGTCTTGTCCGTACCCCCCTCTTGAAACCACAGCCGCAACCGCTGTACTGCTGTGCCAGACCATTTTTTTTCTAAAAGAAAGATTACATACAAATTCTACGCTCGAAATAAGTAAAGTACTCCTTCTCTACTACTTGTGGCTCCCGCCTCGCCTGCAGGATGGTGTAGAGACTCTGCAGGGTGGCCTCCCTCGTGTCCACGTGGGGCGTCAGCGCGAACAGCCCCATGGTCCGGAACAAGACCCCCTCGAAGGCCTCCCCGCCCCCGACGGTTGTCCTCCTCGCCGCCCTGCCCCGGACCGCCAAGAAGACGCCTCCAACGTCGCAGTCGAACACCCACCGAAACGGCGCATCTTCTTCTCCAAACCCTTCGAGGCGGGCTCGCAGACCCAGAAAGTTCGGAAGGAACCCTTCTTCCTGCCCGCTGGGGTGGCCGTTCCCTCCCCTTGGGGTAGGGGGGGCGGCCGTTGTCCCGCCGCCGCCGCCGCCGCCGCCGCCGCCGCCGCCGCCGCCGCCCGACGTTGTTGTGGTTGTCGCGTTGGCAGCACTGCTAGGGCTGCTTCCCGGTGGAGGGGAAGGGGCATTCGCCGGAGGAGTGGGACCGGTGCCGGTGCTAATGGCTTCGGGAGGGGCGGTGTTGTCGGTGCTGCCGTCTGGAGGAGCGGGGGAGGACGCGGCCGGGAGGGGGTGGAGCCTTTGCACGCCGTCCACGATGAGCTCGCGGAGCGCCCGCACCGCGTACTCTCGCTTTGCCGGCTCCCTGGCCTTGGCGACTACCCGGAGGTGTCCGGAGACTAGCTCCCACACCACCGGTAGACGCCACGTGTTGGCCACGGCGCACTCGACGACCTGTGCAACAGCAGCAGTAGCACCAGGAGATTTGCACAGGTGATGAAAGGTCGCTTGTTGGTTCATTGGGCAAAAGAGGGAGTAAAGGAAATAGGGGAATGTTGCGAGAGTCAGTTTTTCCAGATGTTTGAGGACTCTGTGCACAAGCTTTATTCAGAACCGAAACGCCGCGGTAGGAAAGCCCGCTGTGCAGTCGACACAAGTGAGCGTCAGATAGTGTGTTGAACAGCGTGCGCGCAACCGCGTCTTTCAATTGGCCCCTCCGCATGAAGTGCAGAAGCGAAACCACAGGTCACACCAACAAAGATGTTTCCACCGCAGTGCAGGGTACAGCCGGTGGTCGGAGGGGGGGTAGAGGACCCGGCGTTTGTACGTCGACGATGCTATTCTCGCAGAAGGTAGTGACAAGACAATGGTGAAAGGTGCTTCGAATCGACGAAGGGACTCGCGTCCACAAACGATGCATATACTAGGAGACAGGAGCAAGACGGGAACGAACGAACAGCAGGTGGCATAGCGCTCTCACAAGGCGAGATGAAACCCAGGGGATGTGAGCCCTAACTTCCCCGGGTCCCCCTTTCGCAGCTTTCGCGCTCATGTTCACGTTGCTGCTGCTGTTGCTGTTGCTGTTGCTGTTGTTGCTGTTGCGATTATCCCGGTCCCGGTTCAAGACCTCCCGGCCTTCGGACATGGCGGCGCCAACACCCCTGCACAACAAGCACGCGGCAAAAACGGTCGTAGTCACACGTTAGCCTGGAAGATGGCTGGATCTATTCTATCTGTAGCTGTAACTGTAACTGCTGTCATCCCGCAACGTCAGTGACTTGGATTTTTTTTTTTTTTTGGGGGGGGGGGGGGTGAGGGATGCACTTTTTAGGACGGATGCATAAAATCACGCAAGGACGCCGACAACCACAAAACAAAAAATCAAAAAAAGACAGCATTTGTCACACAAGACCCCCAAGCAATACGATGAAAAGAGAGAGGGGGGAGCTCTGTGTTGAGTTGTCGACTGTCTGACTCTATAACCCTAAATCTATCCCTAAGTCTAACCCTAACCCTAACCTCGCTGCCGCCCCCACCAAGGACACGAGCCCGCTTGCGGCGGCAACGGCGGCCGCGCCGGCCCCTCTGCCTTCTCCGCCGGCCCCGTGGGCGTGCGACTGGGCCGCTCTGCCGGCGCGCGAACAAGGAATAAACAGTACAGCACGTGATAAAATAGGGTGCAGTTGGTGCAGTTAGCTGATTTACCATCAAGAGCGGGTGACGACAAACAGGCGCAGAGAACCTATGGAAGACTAAGTCACAGGACATAGTCAAGGGCCAACTTTAGAGGTGAGGTTAACGGTAAAGAACTCATGTGCCAGCAAGGAGGCGAGGGAAAGGATGAGGCACAGCAACTTCAAAAACGGACAACTTTCAAAGGGGCACTGTAAGGTACAGTAAAATAAAGCGCCCGGCTAGACAGGAAAGAGGTACAGGAATGGCCAACAGGGCAGGAAACCAGGTACATCAACTTGGTCAAAAAACGTCAAGAAAAGGTGTAAGCTTGATCAAAACCAGCTCGATACATTAACCCTGCACAGAACTACAGGGCAGGGTGGGAAAAGTAGCGCAGACTCGTTCGGCGCGTTAGCGCCGAAGGAGCCGGAGGCTTTCGGGGGGCCGCCGCAGACGCCGAAGCCCTCAGCAGGAGCCGCCGGAGCCCCCCCCCCGGAGGGACCGCGGAGGGAAAACAATTAGGGTAGTTTGCGTCATTTCGTCACTTTCTGGCTCAAATTTGAAGTGCTGTCTCATCGTTATTATGTCGTTGCCATTGTATATCTACTTAGTCTTGTTTACGATGTTGGAATGCAAGTTCGCAGGTGCCGGTCAGGGCGCGTCTGCATATGTTCGAGCACAAGCCCTACCAGCTGACGTTTCAACGTGTAAAAACAAACAAACAATTATACATATGGACGCGTGCGTGGCGTGTAAATTTGAGACGTTACATTCTTTTTTAACGCAAGAAGAAGACCAAGTAAATCAGCACGCCAAAATTCAATACTTGAAGAAAAATAAAAGCAAGAGATCCTTCTTATTCATATCTTTGCGAACGAAGGGAAACCCCCTGTTGTGCAGCACAGCGCTTACCAACCTGGAGGCTACAGGCTTCAGGCTGCATGCATGTGCACTGTGCACGTGCCACGTATTTATGTACATCTGATCTATCCTCCAGTCAGTACAGCACTTAGCCGTAGTGTACTCCACTCGCGGCCACTCTCGTTTTCGAATTTTTGAACTTTTCCGGGGGACCCATAGGATCATGCGCCAAAAGTCCGGCAAGATTGAATATTTTCTTCGGCGGCCGACCTAACTGCGTCTACGGCTTTGCCCCGAAATTGAAGCTGCACCCCAAAAAAAATTAGGCGCTCCGCGCCGTTTTCGGCGAAATTCGGCCCAGCCTCGAAGCCCCGATCACCTTCCCCGCCCTGCTACAGGGGCCGAAGGAAAAAAAAGAACGCCGCGGGACGGTGGCAGCATGCGACTTGATGACTCACTCTCGCTCTCTGGCCACAGAGCGCTCCTGCGGTAGCACGGTGGACGTGTTGGCTAGGTCGACCACTGCTAGCGCCTGCAGCGAGGACATGAGGCCGTACAAGGCCTCATCTTCCAGGCAAGTCGAGAACTCGACTAGACGCTCCTGGGACAAGCAGAACACCGAAATGGTGGAGGGAGAGAGAAAGGGATACCGTCTTACGAAGGCGAGAACTCGACTTGTAACAGACGCTCTGGGGATACATACAAACACGCGCGCAACGCAGAAAAAAAAGACAAGAACAGAAAAGAGAGACATTTGAACGAAGGATACGTACAAAGGAGCCTAGATTTCGCTGAACAATCAATCGGAACGGAAACATGACAAGCGGGATGACCAGAAAACATGCGGCGTAAGGACACGTGCGGAGAGCGAGATTGACCTCTTCGTATGCGCGCGTATTGTATATCGGAAGACAGGAACCGAAGAAAAAAAAAAAGCAACACAAGAACAGCGTAACTCGTACAAAAACAAAGTCGCGATGTATACAATAATGAGGAGTTCAGAATAAAAAGTAGCCCCCTTACAGAAAACAGAATCGAATCGAGCGGAGACGCTGCGAAGAGCGCACCACAGCAGTACATGTATTGTACAAGCCAACAAGACAGCAACAGCAACGGCAACAACGGCAACGCCACGAACACAACGCCCTCCTTCTCATTGGAACCCCTTCTCTCTGCCAAATCCCAAAGGGACAAACCACTTGAAAATGAAAACACACGAAAAAAATGCCCCTCCTAGATACGTGGCTACATGGCACGCGCCCTTCCGCCCTCACCGCTGCCAGGAGAACCTCGTTACAGTGCCGCTCCACCTCCAAAAGCTCCGTCTCGGGGGACTGCGGGGACCACCTAGGCCTGGCGATGGCCCTCCTGCCGAGGAGACTCGCAGCCTGCTCTAGGGTGTCCAAAACTACGTGCCAACATCCCCGCAGAAGGTTGCCCAGGCGGTGCACCACCTGAAGGACGCTCTCCAGCGTACCTTGACCATTGTTTTGACGACGCAGGAAAAAGGGTAAGATGAGCGTTTTTTTACGTGGCGCTTTTGCTACCAAAGTTTGGGTTGACTCCAAAGTTGGGAACTTTGACAAGCGGGTTCGAAGGCAAAAACAAAATCAAAGTTTCCAATAACTTGGAACCTCCTATTCCAAAATGTCTGGGCCCTACTCAATGTCGGAATTTTTTCCAAAAGTTTTCAATGACTTCCAACATTTTGGAAGTAGATTTTTTTTGAAAAAATAACCGATCTATATAACGCCCCTGAGTGGGGTGGCAAGAGGGCGTCTCTTTTCTTCTCCATCCAGCATCGGTGATGTTGCGGGCCAACGCACAGGCTGACCACGAAACAATAACTCGACCAAATCAAAAAGCACAGGTAGTTCGTTAGGAGACGAAAGAAGGGAGGGATGGACGAAGAAAATGGGGCAAAGAAAATGGGGACAAGGTGGGGG